AATTCCCGTTTTCTTTAAAAGTTCCTCTTTACTCACATGCACTGTCCATGATATACCCAGCACCCGTCTGTAGAGCCACATTTCTGTTGTCTCAGGTCTCTTCTTGCGAATCAATTTTTCTCTCCGGAATCGATCTTGCATATCTATAAATCTACCATACTTCGAATATTGCTGCCATATATGATCCGGTGCCCTTGCTATTTTCCTGGAGCTCCTCGATAAAATCCAAAGAAGTAACAGCAATATTATTGGTCCTGATCACGCAGTTCGGCTTCAGTCACTTTTTTTATAAATAGTTTTATGGTAATTGTTCGGATTGGCTCTTCGCTGTGGTACCTAGACTGTATAAATTTAAATGCAAAACTAGACACATCAATTTACATTTGAACTAGCTAGATGCAACCGTAAGTTTTATTCTAAAAGCTTCTTTTCTCGCACTTTTTGCTTGTGGAACTCCTTTCCGATTTCATGCTTTTCAGCCAACTTTAATCTGCAAAAATTTAAATACAATGTCATTTGCTATTTACTATCCTTCTGATTGCTTTTTTCTTTTTCTCTTCATTACTAATGTTTCTGTTCCTAATTCCTCCACACCCTGTAACCCCTTGCATGCTAGTGGCTGTATTGACTTGCTTCGAGGATACGGATTAAAAAAATCTGTGAGGAAATTGTCTAGCATTTACTGCCTTACAGGAGGATATATATATATATATATATATATATATATATATATATATATATATATATATATATATATATATGACGCGGAGGAGTGGCGTATTCAACAAAAAATCGAAAATTGCTTTTTTCACTGCAAATTATTCATTATATAGGGTGCCCCCCCCAAAAAAACGGGAACTTTTTAACAAGCCAATAAAACCAAGAGTTATGGAAGAAAAATATTTTATTCATAGTAATTGAAACCTTAAAACATGCCATTTAAGAAACAATGATGGAATTTTCATTTTTTTAAAATTACGTCCTGTAGATGGCGTCCTCCTGTACGAATGCATTCTTGAAATCTGCTGTTGAGATTACTCATTGACTGCTGCAACATCTCAACTGGGATACTGTGAATTTCATCTTGAATTCTAAATGGCGAAATGTTTACTTGCTTAAGCTCACTGTCTCGCAGTGTTGTCACTTGCTCATGTCTGGCAATACGCACTTCAAAAATTCCCGTTTTTTGGGGTCACCCTGTATCACATCCAAGTATTTTACAAAAAATTAGAGCCGATTACACAATATTCCAAGCTCAATTTAGGCTTATAGTTCGTAAAGTTGCATTGAGATGAGGTTACATAAGCCGTAGATTTGTCTGCGGAATATCATTACATTATTGTTACATAATTCTAGTTAAATCATTAAGGTTATTTTGTCAAAAGTATTTCATTTTGGGGCGTATATTAATTTAAAATATTCCTCTTTACAGGCTTTATTTTTGAAATGGAATGAGATCATTCTAAATTTCAGAACTTCGCTCTTACTTATCAAAATGATTATAAGAAAGTGATCTAAAAACAACAATGGAAAAGGGAGGTAACGAAGCGTAAACGAAATGGCTCCAGTTTGTTCAACTTAGGAAACTTAGCATTCAGCCAAAATATTCGAAATTGCTGCCAATAACAAAGGAGAAAATGAAAAATAACTAAGAAATCGAATATAGCATCAAAATTGATATTAGTTTTATTTATATCTTATGTAAGTAAATACATAATTGTCAACAATGTTTCCGTAAAAATTGATATTCCCTGTGATCAATTCTTAATAAATGTTAGTGTTGTTATTATTTTACTTAAGTGTAAGATTGTTCTACATTTGCAATTCCTTACGGCTAACCATGAAAAGAAATGTTGATCAAAACTGCCTAAAAACTTTAAGCGCGTATTACCACAAAATTATCAAATGTTGAATACGACCCACCTCCTCCGAACGCGTCATATGACACATCAGTTCAACGCTCTCTTCTTTGTTTCTAGTAAAATTTCCCTATATCTAAATATTCTGTTTAATTTCACAATCACTATAACCTGAACCTCTTTAGGTCTAGGGTCATCTTTTCCACTTCATATCCGCCTAAACTGTGCCTCTTAGTCTGTAACCCCCTACCTCGAGTGGCTCTCGGGATTTTTACAGGGTGAACCTCACTGTAAAAGAAAATGTCATGCAAAAATATATATATCACATAGCAACTCTGTAACCTTTTCGATGCCGCTTTAGGGTGTGCCCTACCGATCAGTATACCCTACTATTTGTATCCAAACATTATCTAACGGAAGTGGAAAGACAAAAATGGAAGGAGGGATGCCACTTACTGATGTGTTATAAAGTTTAAAATAAAAAAATTATAGAATAAGAAATTTGACTAAAGAAATCATAAAACAAGATATTTATTTTAAATAAAAATATTCTGAATGTCTTTTAACATCGAGAAAAAAAGTCGGGACTATGCCTTAATAATGTAGAATACAAATGTGGGGGTAGGAGACACACCAAAGCAGAAACTGATCAGTAGTGGAACCATGGTTTTTGTTTCTAACAAAATATATTCTTTTGTCATTTCTTGGTTACTGGAAGAGTCACATTTTCTCTTTTCTCTTAATACACTTCCCAGATAATTCAAATTTTTGTACCTGCTTGATTTGGATGTTTCCAATTTAAAGTTCATGCTTTTGGCTGCTTCTCTTGTTCACGACCTTTGCTTCTCTTGCTCACGACCTTTGCTACTCTTGCTCACGACCTTTGCTTCTCTTGCTCACGACCTTTGCTACTCTTGCTCACGACCTTTGCTTCTCTTGCTCACGACCTTTGCTACTCTTGCTCACGACCTTTGCTTCTTTTGCTCACGACCTTGCTTCTCTTGCTCACGACCTTTGCTTACTTTGCTCACGACCTTTGCTTCTCTTGCTCACGACCTTTGCTACTCTTGCTCACGACCTTTGCTTCTTTTGCTCACGACCTTTGCTTCTCTTGCTCACGACCTTTGCTACTCTTGCTCACGACCTTTACATCTTGTCTTCTTTAGTTAGTCCTTTCTTCTCGCTTTCTTTTGCTGCCTTCTATAGCAGTTTTTTTTTTTTTTAGATTTTCTACTGAGTACACCATCAATATAGTTAATTATGACCGTCGATAATAAATACTATTAAGTTTTCTTGGGATCGATATGCTGTATAGATTAAATAAAACAGCTTACCCGCATTGACAATTTAATCGACTTCGAAATATTCCCCTTCTGACATCATACATTTATTCCAGCGTCCCTTTAAAAAATAGTCTGTTTCAGTTGACAGTCACCATGCAGTGTTGATTTCTATGTTTATATCAAATGTATACTCAGTGACCGAAGTAGTTGGGTTTTTTTTTCTATCGGTGCATGTTGTCAATTGTCGTTGTCATGTTCATAGGTACATCAATATGCCTGTAGCCCAATAATGAAGGATCATTTTCAGTTAACGCATCACGATCTCTGCAATCTCGCCCAGTGTTTGAAAAGTGGTTTTATCTTTTGGTAAATTCAGCCGCTGGAAGCGAAATTTGGACTTTCTGTGTGTGGAGGAGGAGGAAGATCTGTCAAACTTGGGTAATGCGATGTTAAGCAAGAAAAAGAAAATATGATCACACAGTACGCAACCTCACGCAATGACGTCTCACTGACGACTGAATACCTCGGCGGGAAAGTATCTATTCACACATGTCCGGTAAGTTGATTTCTGATTGGTTGCCAAGTTACACTAGTGTCATATAAACAGTCTCCGAGATATTTCAAATGTTTGGATGTTTTTAACTTTATTAAGCACAGTTCAATCGAGAATAGGAATTTTGTCAAGAATCATTGGATACCTAGCAAAAAACACCAGAATAGACGTGGCAGCAATAACTCATCAGCAAACGAATGGTAGACTAGTAAATATCCAAGATAATTTGCAACGAGAAAAATTGTCCAGTTCGACATTGAACGTATTTTCCGTGTGGCAGACCTAACAATTGATTCAATATAAAATTCCACTTCATCTCAGTGGAAAGAATTACACCGCATATATATATATATATATATATATATATATATATATATATGTAACTAATTGTATTCATTGTTTCGGCCAGTTCTAACCTTCGTGGCTAGGACCCTCCATGCCACACCCATTCTAACAAGCCACCCACATTCTTTACGTACTCTATTGGTAAGAAGTAAGAGCTTCTTCTCGTGAACCATTGCACTGTGGAACCGACTCCCAAGGGGATGCTTCCCCGACCACTACAATCTTTAACCTGTTCAAGTCTAAGGTTAACCGTTATCTTCCACGTCTATTCGTATAAACTGCCTCTTACTGCAACCCTCTACCTCCAGTTGCACCCGGGCCTTGTACAGGGTGAATCTCATAAAAAAAAGTCAGATAGCGTCTGTAATATAGGAAAAACTCTAAGTAGAAGCTTATGAAGCTTTATTTTATTATTATTATTTTTTTTTTTTATGAATACAAAAATGTAGCACAAAGCCAAAAGTAGGGATGGGGGTGGACTGGTCATCATCTGTCTTATCTTAGCTCACCATAGTCACTGACCCAAACAAACTATACAATTTTCCTTGCAGACAACATAATACCTCAAAGTTTAAAGCTTTATTTTATTAATTCAGTTTTAGTGTTGAAAAACGTTTATTTTATTTTGGGGGATGGTTACAAGCGAGAGGGGAGAGGAGGTGAGATGTGCTTATTTTATCACCACAGCGTCATATGTTTCATTTTTTTCTTGTCATCCGAATAGATTCTTGGATGTAAATGTGATATTCAAGTGATTTTTTTTTTATTTTTGACAGTATTGTTAGTCACGTACGAACATACACGTACCTTGTTCTTTGTTGTTAGATAAACTTTCTTTTTTATTTGCATCTGCGTTTGAAAAACAATAATTCTGTTGTTAACTATAATCCAAATTTCTAGGCTTCTGAGCCTTTAATTTACGTCAAGATACGTGCGCATGCGTACATTGAGAATTCATGTCTAGGAAGTACAGAATGGAAACGAGACGAAGAGAGAATGAAGATACAGAAAAAGGACAAACGAAATTAGACTCAGAGATAGATAGATAGATAGATAGATAGATAGATAGATAGAGAGAGAGAGAGAGAGAGAGAGACAGACAGACAGACAGACAGACAGACAGAGAGAGAGAGAAATAGTGAGAGGTTGAAAGAGGTAAGGGAGAGGAAAGGGAGAAAAATGTGAAAGAAAAAGGAAGATTGCACACAATGAAAAAGAGAGAAAAACAGAAAGAATTGGAAAGCAAAGATGGTGATAGATAAATAAAAAAATCAAGGAAATATAAAAGCAGAAAGAAATGAAAACAAAAAAGAACAGGGTAAAAAGAGATAATCCAATGGACATACTAAAAGGAGGACATTTTGGAAGGTAGTTTGTTGTATCATCAAGGTGGAGAGTGTCATAATAATTCTCAGTGGACAGACGCGCCATAATACAGCAAATGTTGACTGAGAGAGGCAGCAAATTTATTTTGCTTCTTTGACTGTCGAAACAATTTACTCAAGTGTGCGCATGCGTGGCACTGTTTATAGTCCTAAATCATTACTTTATCATTGACTGTGTGTGTGTTCTTTTAATTCTATCCACATTTTGCTTTCAAAGCAAAAGATATTGTTATTATTCCGCGTTCAGTTTGTTTTTGAAAATTATTCTTACCTGGTCGATGGAAACATGGCTAATGATGGACAATATAATAAAATTAACATATGCAGACAGACAGACAAATATAGATAAAATCAAACATATAGAAATAGAGTTAGTTATGTGTTAACTGATCTGTATATATATGAAAGTCTTATATATATATATATATATATATATATATATATATATATATATATATATTTAATAAAAGGCTTAATCACTAATATTCCATGGTCATAATTTATTCCGTTGGAATCGTAATACGATCCAATTCATCAGACCTACAAATTCAAAAAAGAAAACAGAAAAAACAACTCTGGGAATATATATGTGTGTATATATATATATATATATATATATATATATATATATATATATATATATATATATATATATATATACACACACATATATATATATATATATATATATATATATATGTGTGTGTGTGTGTGTATATGTATACATATATATATATATATATATATATGTGTGTGTGTGTATATATATATATATGTGTGTGTGTGTGTGTATATATATATATATGTATGTATATATATATATATATACATATATATATATATATATATATATATATATATATATATATATATATATATATATATATATATATAACTGATTAGTAATTTGGGTATTTGGATAATTTTCATGTCTAGACCTAGCATTCTCCACACACACTACAGAAAAGGACTAGATGGCCATTTCGTCCTTTTGGGGTCTTTTCAACATATTAATCAGTTATATAAACCTATGCTAGATCCAGTTTCTGTTGCTCTGGATTGAGCAGCTCGGTGAATAAAGTCTTTGCTTTTGTGGCCTCTCCTGTGGGTTATGTATACTTGGATGAGTGTCACTATTATATTGTGTCTAGTAACTTCCCTTTTCGCCATCATGGCCCGCTGACCCAGTGTATCGTAACGGTCCGGTATCGATTCTCAGAGTCGGTAGAGAATGCGCAAAAAGGAAGAAACGGCTGAAATGTTCGTTGCTTTTCTGAAATTTTATATATATGGTGAAGCAAAAGTAATGCAACTGAGGGATAGGTCGAAGACGTCCTATTGTGTGACCACTGATCTCACTAGATCTCACACACTTGGAGATTTTCTTTTTCTTGTGGGGCCATGATAAAATATAGTTTTAAAGGCCTTAGTAAAATATAGTTTATATATATTTATGCGTTAAAGTGCTCATAATCTGGGATAGAGCAATCAAGATTGACGATTGCGTTTAACATGAAACAGACACATCTCTGGATGTTGACTTCAATGCGTACTTATATATAGTCATCCACAGACTGTTTCGCTGTATAAACCCGACCGATTTAGCATCAGTCAGATATCCTATCCCTAGACTATCATCGCACGGCGGAGAGTAAGGGAAATTTTAACGTTTTCTATACGAAATACGCCAGTAGCCAGGAGAGTTCAATTCATAGTTGAAAGAGCAATTTATATAAATATTTAATGGGGAGCAATCCTGAATTTATAGATTTTTCTTTGCTGATGACGGACAAGAATCTTTTTTGCCACGCTGCTTCTCAGAGTTTTTATTTCATCAGGGATACGAAGGTGCAGGAAGAGTGTGTAGCGATTACTGTGACGAACACTTTCGGACAATATTTAGTCATTTTCAAAGGGGATTGGTTTTCGTTGTTAATATATTCTGTTTTTGTTTCCTATATTGAAATATATATATATATATATATATATATATATATATATATATATATATATATATATAGAGAGAGAGAGAGAGAGAGAGAGAGAATGAGAGAGAGAGACATATAGACAGTGAAAGAGAGTAAAACATGGAAATCAACACAGCATAGTGACTTTCAGTTTTACCCCTCAAGGCATTTTCAGAGCAGTTTCAGGCCTTAAGAGACTGCTTGATAATGGTCTGATGATAGGGTGAGGTGTGAAACTGACAATCACTGTGCAGTGTTAATTTATCTGTACTATATATATATATATATATATATATATATATATATGTGTGTGTGTGTGTGTGTGTGTGTGTGTGTGTGTGTGTGTGTGTGCTTGTGAAGAAGTGAATAAATGAGTATTTATGATATATGGGTATTTTCTGAAACAGATTAGAAGTAGATGGATCGATCGATCGCTCGATAGATAGATGGACAGAATAGACTGAATATACATATATATATATATATATATATATATATATATATATATATATATATATATATCAATTATACTAATTCAAACATTACTTTTAGTGGGTTCCTGTGTTTGAAATAAACGCCCGTGTTTATTTTATTTTAAAGAGTGTGTATACATCTACCAACCTGAGTACTTGAGGTATACTTAATGCAGAAAACGTGCTGCCGAGTAGGGTTCGAAAGTTCATATCATGTCTCTGTATATGCAAAGAATATATATATATATATATATATATATATATATATATATATATATATATATATATATAGAGATATGAAATGACTGAGATAGAT